CCCGAGCCGGCGCTGGCTGCAGCAGGCCCCGCGGGAGGCTGTGCGCTGACAGCTGCTCGGTGAACCCGGCGCTAGTGAGCTCTGCATCAGGTGCCTCGAGGGGCTGGGAGGGCTGTCGTGGTGCTGTCAAACTGTTTGGTGTCTCAGAGATGAGTTGCTGGCGGAAAACCGATTAAAACCCCCAAAGAAAGTCTGTGCCGTTACCTCGTTTTCCATCTCTGTCCCTTTCCTCGGCCTTTAAAACCCAATATCCAAGTGCAGTTTCATGGAATAGACTGTGCTGTACAGTGACAGTTTGTTCCCTGAGTTTCTGAGAAGCTTTGATTTTTGGTGGCTGAGGGAATATTTTAGGTTACAGTGACCACGTGTGAAATTGTAACTTGTAAGTGATCTGATCTTGCTTGAAAAACTAAAGGTACTCCCTGAAGTAGACTCTAAGCTCTTGCCTGCAGGTTGTTTGGGGGCAGCACTGTGGCTGAGGTGCAGGTTTGGTGCAGTTAGGCTGCACAGAGGTGTTTTCCCTGGCTCCTGCTGACAGTCCTCACACAGCACAGTGTGTCCCCACTTCTTGCAAGAGCTTGGGTGTCACTGGTTTCTGCCTCCTAATTATTCCATGAAGGCTTAAGCCTTGATATCCTCTCTTACCTAACCTTTCTACCTAACCTTTCGCTTTGGAAATAAGCACCATCCTAAGGTTTGGAAGTGAAATGACGGAGTTTTAGCTAGAAAAATGCAAGCTGAGAGTAGGATAAAAGATTTCCTAGTATGAAAGCAGTGACAATGAGTTCGGTTGCTTGTCCATGCTGTCAGCAGCATTCCCTTCAGGAGGCTGGCTCAGGGTGTCAGGACAGCCCCTGGGGGGGAGTTCCTCATTCCCCGTGGACAGAGGTGGTCTCCAGGAGGTGAGCCCATGTCCTTTGGTGTATGCAGTGGTGGGCAGGGCCCCACAGGAGTTGCTGATAAAATAGCATTCACCAGTGGTGCTGGGGACGTTTTGCAGTGGTAGCCAAGTATCCTTGATGTGATGCTAGAGAGTTAACTTTCTGTCTTTGTTGAGGTGGCACAGTAAGGTGGTGATGTCTGTAATTGGTTTCAAAAGATTGTTTTGGTCCAGTACAGTTTACAATTCAAAGCTCACGTCTGCTTGCAGCAGATTATGTCCAAGGGAAACTTTGAAATAACCTTAAAATTGTATCTTTGTCTTCATTGTGACTTGTGAACAGCGATTGCTGGAGTCTTCATTTTTCTGCTTTTATGGTGTTTTTAATTTGAGCCTGAGAGTTGGAATCTGTGTGTATTCAACATCCTCAGCTTTCCCCCAAGTCTGGCACAGCTCTAACTCAGATCTGCTCATAGTGTAACAGCTCTGGATACCAAGAGAGAGCCACTACAGCTTTGTAATGCTCTGATTTCACACAGCTGCGAATTGTGTAGTTACTTTCCATGTGTGATAAGAGTAGATTTAATATCTCTATTCAAATATTACCTGTGTGCCTTTATAATTAGCTGTCTATTTTTTCCCCATTTTGAAAGTGTTTCCCTTTACCTGCTGCCAGCTGATAGGGAGGCTGTTCTGTGAGGAGCTGGATAGCAGTTTCTAACACCACTTTTCTCGTGCTGGTAGAAATTGAACCCACATTAATGCCACTTGAGCTGTGTTTGTAGGGTAATCCTGTTCTCCTGTTAATCATTTGAATCTTTCTGTAGTGCATAAAGATCGTTTGGGTTTGTGTTTTTGTAAACACAAATTTAACACAGCTAAACCCTGTGCAGTTATTCTCACCTCAGTAATCTGAGCACTTCTCTGACATGACGCTGTTTGCCCTGATTTGCAGGTTATTTGAGTCGATGGTTTCCCTAAGCCCCACAGAGGCTTTTCTCGATTGGTATTTTGCTCAAGCAATAAATAAATCTGCTGACGTGTGTGTTCTGCCGTGTTTGCTTATTCTTGACCTTTGCTTTTTAGCCTTGCTAGGGACAGTTTCAGTCATGACATTGTGTAACTGAGTGTTTGTGCATTGACAAGCATATCTGATGTGTATTCTTAAAATTTGTGCCTCTTGCAGCTGATGAGTTGTTCAGAGCAGTGTCGGACGTGGGTAAAGGTTTCAGGGTTCGTTGTGGCGAAACCAGGACACCTGGTGCTTCGTCATCTGAACAGATCTTGTTCCAGTGCCAGCAAACGTCATCTAAATATTCTCTCCTCCTCTTTCCACGTTACTTTTGTCTGCTGTACCTGTTGCTGCATAGCAGAGAAACTCTTGGTTGTCACGAGTGTAATTGCTGTGACACATGCCTGGATTTGGGACTGGTGCAGACCTGTGTTCTGACTCCTGTGTGCTGTGCTCCAGGCTCAGAGCTGCCCTGAAGTCATCTTGTGATGCTCCAAGGCTCCACTGCAGCTTCAAAACGAGTGTGGCAAGAGCCTGGAGCAGTGTGGATGGCTCTGCCAGCTGTGCTGAGCAGCATAGTCCAGTTTCCCAAGGGCAGGAGAGCAGGGGTCATGCATTCCAGCAGTAATTAGCTGCCTAAACGCTTCTAAGGATGTTGCCCTTTAGTCTTTCAAGAGGTTTTCACACTAGATATTACTTTACTGTGTCAAACTGGTACTTTCAGTGTGGTTTAGAGCACAAGTCTGAGGAGGAGTGGCTGATGGAGCTGGGGGAGCTCAACCTGGAGAAAAGGAAGCTCAGGAGGGACCTTATTGCTGTCTACAATTACCTGAAAGGAGGCTGTACCCAGGTGGGGGTTGGTCTCTTCTTCCAGGTAACTCAAGTTGTGGTAGGGAAGATTCAGATGAGATCTTAGGAAAAGATTTCCTTGTAGAGCACAAGTCTGAGGAGGAGTGGCTGATGGAGCTGGGGGAGCTCAACCTGGAGAAAAGGAAGCTCAGGAGGGACCTTATTGCTGTCTACAATTACCTGAAAGGAGGCTGTACCCAGGTGGGGGTTGGTCTCTTCTTCCAGGTAACTCAAGTTGTGGTAGGGAAGATTCAGATGAGATCTTAGGAAAAGATTTCCTTGCTGAAAGGGAGGCACTGGATTACTTTACTGTGTCAAACTGGTACTTTCAGTGTGGTTTAGAGCACAAGTCTGAGGAGGAGTGGCTGATGGAGCTGGGGGAGCTCAACCTGGAGAAAAGGAAGCTCAGGAGGGACCTTATTGCTGTCTACAATTACCTGAAAGGAGGCTGTACCCAGGTGGGGGTTGGTCTCTTCTTCCAGGTAACTCAAGTTGTGGTAGGGAAGATTCAGATGAGATCTTAGGAAAAGATTTCCTTGCTGAAAGGGTGGTCAGGCACTGGAACAGGCTGCCCAGGACAGTGGTGGAATTGCCATCCCTGGAAGTGTTCAAAAGGCTCGTGGATGTGGCACCTGGGGACGAGGTTTGAGTGTTGAACACAGTGGTGCTTAGGCTATCAGTTGGACTCGATAATCTTAGAGGTCTTTTTCAACCTTAATGATTCTATGATTATCCTCACTTTGAACAATGAGGAAATTAAGAAGAAAGCTTGGAAATTAATTGCTCATGGCTACACAGTGAACCTAGTGATGGCTCTCAGCCTTCTGTTCTTGAATCTAAGCTGAAGGAATTCAGTGGGAGACGTGGTGTTCTAGGGGTTTTTTCAACATAAGTTTTGCATTTAAGGTTAAAATTGTGACAGCCTGTGCAGGACAATACAGGAGGTCACTGCATTGAATGGCAATTCCAGTGCTTTGTGCTGGGTAGTTGTTTCCCATTACAAGCCAAACAGACAGGTTCTGTGTGGACAATAGGGATTTATTTGATGTCAAACTTCTCCAGATTCAGCTCCACAAAATGTCTTCACCTCTTTTTGCCTCTGCTTTGAACCCCAGCAGCTGCCAGGGGCAGCTGGAACACTGACTGCATTGACAGCCCTCTAGTGCCTTCTCCAAAGTGCCACTATTTCCCAGTTGAAAAGTTTGTGTGAAGATCCTGCTTGAAATCTTCACTGGATCATCACACACCTCCATCAAATCATACCTAGGATAAAATGGTTTTTACTTCTTTGCAAAGGCTTAGTTCACATAGCATTTTCCCAAGGAAGGAGAAAGTCTTTGCTGTTGAGTCACAAGGTCTGGATTCTGGTTTCCATTTCTGCACTTATTTTTGATATGTTGTGAGTTCACTTAATTGGTCTGTGATACAGTTTATCAGAACGAATTTTTTTTAAACCCAGGACCTTGAGATACTTCTTTTTACCTATAAATATTTTACAGTGTTTAATGTGCTGTTCTGACAGATCCTAAATGCTTTGTGTTTTCTGTTTATTTCAGACTATAAGATTCAGATATGTTCCTATTTGATTGGATTTACAGTGGTTTCAGTAGCGTATTACAGTTTTTAGGTAAGTCATTATTGTTTGGGGCTTTTCCTTTCTGCTCTTCTTGTATAAAATGTCTGTTCACCTCTGTTATCTTCAAACAAGGCCGCTGGTTAAATAATAATATTTGGGTTGGTGTACATTCAGTAACACTCAAACAAAAGTTTCTCTTACCAATGCTGAGCATTCCCAGAGTGTGCTCTGCACTTGGTCTTACACTAATCCTTAACTTCTTCAAAAAAATTCCCTTTTCTTTCATGAACACAATAGGTTGGATTTTTGTAATCATACTGCATTTAAGCTGATGTAATTCAGTTGACTTTTATGGACTTTCTGACTTTTCTCTACTGTAAAGAACTGACTCAGTTGTTTTAGTTCAGTTCTTTTGCACATGAGGATATCACTTCAGAATCCAAATAGGAGGGACTGTCTGCAAAAGTTTAGTGCCAGATATTGAAGCCCTTTCTCTGTTCAGCGGTGTGTTGTTCTGTGTCTGATGTCACAGAAATCAGTGTGAAACTTCACTGGCATCTGCTCAAGAGCCTCAGAAAATTACTCCCTGTCCAAAAGAGTCTGCAATCCATATCAGTCTAAGGTGAAATATTAGCTTGTGCTTAACAGGCGGAGGGGGAAAAAAAGCCACAACCAGGAGGAAATGTTGGGATACTAAAACAAGGAACAGAAGTTGCAGATGACATAGGTAAAAGGCACAATTTCCAAGTTCAAAGGATTTTATTGAAGTGGCTAAAAGCATTGGAGGCTGAGGAATCATGGCCAGCTGTGCCACCTACCTTTTATCAGTTGAAAGTTTAAAGTTTTTGCTGAATGTCAGACCCTTGGCCTGCTATTGAAGTGTTAGCCAGTGAAATTTTAACCAAGTTGACTAATCTTTCTTATCTCCTTTTCCTTAGCTGTGCAGTGATTGCTGCACACTAACCTGCTCTGCCATTCCTCTGCAAGCAAAGTCTAATTCTGTGACAAATACCAGAGCTCAAAGTAGGAAGGAGAATTATTTTCAGTATGTCCCTCTTATTCTAAAAGAAACACCTTTTCTTTGCACTCTTAGTTATATTTACAGTTAAAGAAGACTGATCATAACACTCATTGTGGAATGCACAAAGAACTTATATATAACCTCTGGCCTTGGTGTAGCTGTAGTATTGCTGCTTGTTAGTCTTGTGTTTCTGTGAGGGACACTTGGAGGTGTTTTGGAGAAAGCAGCAGCACCTGACTAGGGAGCAAAGGCTCCTGCATGTGCAGGCTGAGGGTGGCACAAATGTTATTATTTTACTATGGGTTAGTAGAATTTTGTTTAACTCATAAGGTGAGTATGAACTGGAGTTTCTTCTGTGGTATAAGTTAATATATGAAAATGTTTGTCCCCTTCTTCTTTCTCTGTAGGCATTAGTACTTTCTCCTCCACTCTGTAGTTTAATAGTTAATATATATGTGGGTATGTGAGGAGGTGAATTTGGGCAGTCAGAGTTGTTGTATTTGAAAGAACTGTGAAAGACACTCTACAGTGCCTGGAGTAATAAAGATCATTCATGAAATAAGCTGAGGAATATGAGAGAATATTCATTTGTGCAAGTTACAACATGTCCCACTGGAATATGATCCCAGAGATTATCTTCAGTGCAGAGAGAAAGGTGAGCAAACAGCAGCAGTGTAAAGGTCTCCAGGCAGAGCCACCTCTGCCCCTGGAATGCTGTGGCATCAGCAGGGCTGGTTTAAAATCCCCCCACAGCACACATGTATGAGGATAACACAGGAGACAGGATAGTCTTTTCAGAACAGAACTGACTTTTTGTTTTTGAAATTAGTTTATCGTAATGTTTTCCTTAGAATGTCGATCAGTTTGAAGCAGCGAAAACTAATTCTGGCAGAGCATGTTGTGTTGACAAGTTACAAGAGAATTGCCCTGTGATAATCTCCAACTTAAGAAAATATGGTGTTCGTGTGTTAAACATCTTTCCTCTCCTTCACAGCAACTGTTGCATTCCTGGGGTTACAAGTAGTGGGGAAAAGAAGGGGAAAAGGCATTTTTATAAAGATGACAGTCAGTAAAAATGAAAGCAGTGTCACATGACAGCAAGTGTGACAGCAGTGATGATGCCATTCAGGATGTAGCCAACAATTCACCTGGGGGTATGGGTGAAAGTTACATGTTGAAACTGATTTTTATGTCATATTCTGATTGAAGTCTGAATTTTCTTTTTGCCCTGGACGAATGTTTTGTTACAATTGGAGTTAGCTGAACAAAACACCTTCTGTTCAGGTTGAGCCTGCTGTTAGCACTGTACCTGCACACCCACCTCTGCACCACCTGTGAGCAGAGCTGCCCTTTTGCTGGGGCACAGTGAGCCACACTGGCACTGGTCAATCCTGTTCTGCTGTGCTTTTGCTAAGATAAATGCATTTCCCTGAGTGACACATTTAGATCAATTCTCTGCCAAGCATCCCATAAGCTGCACATGGTCCCTAGTGCAGCAGCACGTGGCAGGTGTGAATGCAGTTTGTCCAAGTAGGAGAACATGGATAAAGGGCACTGATAAGTGTGTGCTGGAGCTTCTCTGGTCTGTATTTTGTACTGTGACTGCAACACTTTGTTCCTGGGAGCAAAATCAGCTCTAGTGCTAGGAATGATGTCCCACCACTTGAACTGATTATTCACTGGTTATTCACTTTGTTCTAGGACTGTACAAGAAATCAGGCAAACTAGTGTTTCTTGGACTGGACAATGCTGGAAAAACTACACTGCTGCACATGCTCAAAGATGATAGACTGGGACAACACGTCCCCACGTTACACCCCAGTAAGTTAATACTGCTGGTTCTGTAGCTAGGAAGTATTTGAAGGGTTGTAGGAAAAGCAGGATCTGATTAGACATAATAAAACCAGAACTGGGGAGAAACAAAGGGATTTTTGGGATTGCAATCCATAGATAGTTGCAGTAATATTCTGACAAAATGTGTGTAGGATAGTTCAGACTGTTACATTTACAATTAAGAGGCAAGTAACAAGCAGAATTATGAAGCTGAGACTATATTAACGAAGCTGTGGGAAACAGAGGCTTGCAATTTTTGGGAACAGCTTCTCTGTGTAGCTGGAAAATGAGTGTTTATGTCTCAGAGGTTGCTGTGTAATTGTTATCCTGGTAACCTTGCAGGAGACAAAGCTCAACACAGGTTGAAAATGTGGATTGGTGAAGTCCAGTAAGGAGGTGAGAAATTGGGAAAGGATGGGAAGAGGAGAAACCTGGAACAGTATTGGACACGAAATGCCATCTTTGTGGCAAAGCAGATGCCAAAGCCAACTGTTGTTTGTATAATATGTAGGGATAAATAATCTACAAATACTCTGCTGTTCTCAGCATTGTAGAAATTTCACACGTGTTTCAATGGTTAATGACATTTTGGTGTTACACAAATGTGCCATTGACTTTGAGAGAATATGTTACTCTCATTTGCTTCTTGAATAGCAAAATACTGGAAAGAACCAAGAGAAAAAAAGTAAAATCTATGTGAGGCTGTTCCAATGCAGTGCAGAGAACAGAGAACTTAATTCTGTGTGTTTGCAGCTTCAGAGGAGCTGACAATTGCTGGCATGACTTTCACTACCTTCGATCTGGGTGGACATGCTCAAGGTAAGAGTGTACTTTGACTCACTTAAGCTCACTGGATTGGGTTGGAGCTTGTTTCCAGTCAGAAATATGACCTTGGTGCAGAGCCTGACTTCCCACACTTCTTTGACAGCATGAAAGACATTGGCTGCTCTTTTTTCCATCTCACCACTTACCACAAATCCCAAATATGATTTGTCAAGAGCTGCAGTAGAGCAGAACTTTTGACTAATACTGTGAGGAGGATTCTGTACTTTGAATTACTTCTATTTACCTTTAAGCTTCATGCTTCAAACTTGCCTTTGTTTACATAATTCTTGGGGAAACAAAAGTTTCCATACATTGTTCATGTGGGATGAAGTCATAACAGTAAAGGGAATGATGATTTCATTCTGTCATTTCAAGCTTTGTAAAACAGGAAATTTCATCCTGAAGACAGGCAGCATAAGTTAAGACTTAAAAAAATGTAGTAAACCTGTTGCTTCTTAATTACTAATGTGTATTGCTCTGAATTTTGGGATAGTTTCCTCTGGTTTTAATTCACATCTTCCCTGTAGCTCGCAGAGTGTGGAAAAACTACCTGCCTGCAATTAATGGCATTGTGTTCTTGGTGGACTGTGCAGATCATGAAAGATTGCTTGAATCAAAAGAAGAACTTGATGTAAGTTTAAAAAAGTTTTGAAAGTTTTCACTTTGACTTCTGAGAACTAAGCTCAAATACCCCACAGAGCTCTGTGTCACCTGCACATTAGTAGCAGCAATTTCCATATTCTAAACTAATATCTCCTCCTTTTTCTTTCCTTTGTAGTCACTAATGACAGATGAAACTATAGCTAATGTGCCTATCCTAATTCTTGGTAACAAGATTGACAGACCTGAAGCCATCAGTGAAGAGAGGTTACGAGAGACATTTGGCCTGTATGGCCAGACAACAGGAAAGGTAATGCACTATTGCTGAGGTTTTGGTGGTTTGGGGCTTGTGTTGACTCCAGTTCACTGCAGCTACACAAAACGAAATGTTTTCTAATTTGTAAAGTGCTTAGTACATAATAACAGTATATGGAATAAATTCTGGGCTCTTACAAGGTCACAACCTTTTAATTTCATATTCAGTGCCATATTTTTCAGAGAAAACTTATTATACTTAGAATAATTTACTTGCAGTTTTCTTATGCAGTACTTTTAAACAGAAAACTTATTATACTTAGAATAATTTGCTTGCAGTTTTCTTATGCAGTACTTTGAAATTTATAGGTTATAGTTCTAGAGAGAACTATAAGAAAAACTAGGTAAAGTCTTTCAGTAAGCGATTTTTCTCATTTAAAGTACAGGCTTAAAAAAATTTTCTACTTCATATGTTTTCCTAAGGCTTAGAGATAGATTTATGCCATTGCAGAAGTCTACATTTGTAGGTTGTGGGAAGGGAGAAGTTACTACTGGAATCTGTAGCAACAAGGCAGATTTCTAGTATGGATCTTGTGATACTTCAACTCTTCTTAACGTAAAGTAAATACAGTGCACTACTTGTAGGAGCCATTGGGATACAGAGCACTAGAAGTGAGCTGGAAAGACACCTCTCTGCAGCTGACAAAGCCATTCCAGTGTGGCTTCCATCCCAGCTCCCCTTAGCTGACCAGCAGTGTGGCTCTGCTGAGAGCACCTGGCCTTCCAATTCCTCTTTGCTTATTCCCTCTCAGGTGCCTCCCTTAAAGTTCAGTGTCAGTCAGAGTTTAGGTTAAGCAGGAACAAATCTTTACTTTCTCATTTTCTGCGTGCAAGAGAATTGCACAGGTCAGATCTAGAGTAGTTGTATTGGGCTGTAAACAGTTCCTACAAACTTTTGGGCTTTTTGTGTCCTGCCCTGGTTTTCACCACACTGCAGGTAGAGGTTAAAGTCTGAACAGCATTGTGAATCTCCAGCTAAGCAACAGCTTTATTGCTCTGTGCTCATCTTGACAATGAAGCACCTTGAACTCTTACTTTGGTCAGTCCTAAAATTGGTAGCAAATGCTCATTTTATCTGGTTGGAAAACTATTGGAAACAGAGGATGCCTGAAAAGAAATAGAAGCCCTCAAATTCTTTGTGGATGTGTTTGCTGTTCCATTCTGGTTTCATGTACTTCACCCTCTCCAGTGTGGATGCACATGAGAAAACACTTTGTGTATTGCTTGTGTACATGTTCTTGAAATTAGGGTTGCATGCTCTGGTCTCACTGAGGGCTGTGGGTGCCCCACCCCTGCAAGTGTTCCAGGCCAGGTTGGATGGTACTTGGAGCAACCTGGTCTGAGTGTCCCTGAATGTGACAGGGAGTGTCCCATGGCAGGGAGTTGGAATGGGATGAGCTTTAAGGTTCCTTCCAACCGTTCTATGACTTCATTTTCTACTATTCCGGTATCAAACACAAATTGGATGGTGACATTCCCTGGAAAGAGGTGTCCACGTGAAGCAGCTGTGGTTTTAGGAGAGGACTGAGTGTGCCTGTGTGTGTCTCTGCAGGGCAGCACCCCCCTGAAGGACCTGAACGCTCGGCCGCTGGAGGTGTTCATGTGCAGCGTGCTGAAGAGACAAGGCTACGGCGAAGGATTCCGCTGGATGGCTCAGTACATCAACTGAGTCCTGCCAAAATCTCAGCAGCACCTTCTGTCCCCGTCTGAATGTTCAGTCTGCTCCTGATTTGATCACTCAGTGTACGTAACTCGAATTCCTCTGACTGTTCAGTTACGAAAACATACGTTTTTCGCTAATTATATCATTGATGCTAAATTGTCTGAGGATTGAAAAATTATTCCCAGCAAGTTTGTAAGTTGAAATACCACGACCTGTGAGCTTTCCAATCCCATGCAACATCCTTTTTGCAGTTTTTAATTTAATGAGTCTCCAGCACCATTTTTGGTCAGAGCAACTTTCCAGTACAGTATGTTTGAATGCACTTTTTAACAGCTAAAAAAAACAACAAACATGTGAAAAATATTTAATGCTTATGTTAAATTTTTTTATGTACTTTTTTGAAACTGGTTTTATAACTTTAGAGTATATAACCATCTTTCAAGGAATAATAAATAATTAGCTGATGGATAATTGCATGATGCCTTACAGTTTTCAATAATACACTTTCTTATGCAACGTCATGCAATAAATTTAAATCCAGTTTTTGGCAACTTTAATGGGAAATGTTTCATTTTAATGTGTCTTAACTAGTGAGGCTGCCTGGTGATCTGAATATGTAGGATTATGTTCCTGAAACACAGCAGGCCACAAAGTAGTGTCATGGTAGGTTAGGGTAAGGTGGGTTTTTTCAGACTACCAAACTGCATTTATTTTAGGATTTTGCATAGTAAAGGAAAAATCTAATGTAATGCCCTTATAGCCACCACATGTACAGATAATGTTAATTAGCTGTGCCAAAGTACATCTTGAACTAATGTCAGAAGTGGTCTTAATCTGCTGGGCTCTGGGATTAAACCCTGATGCAACACAAGAAATACAGTTTCTTTCTGAAGAAATTAAGAATGCCACTAAATATCTTGTTTCCAATTCCATCAGTTTTTGGGCCTGCCAGAAGATTTGCCTTTGAAATTGCCAGGAAAAAAAAAAAAGTTGCTTGTGAAAATTTATCAGCCCACACCCAATTGGCCAGTTTTATTTTAGGTATTTTGAACTGGGACAAGATGGATTGTTTTATGTGGTTTTGCCCTGAAACCTGGCCAGTATGGCAGCTGCTGGCTGCCCAGGGGACGTATTTCTGGGGTAAACTGAGTTATCTGCAGTCCCTGTTTTCTGTTTCTGCCTGGTTTTCCCTGTCTTTGAGTTAGTTCCCTGAGGAGAAAGCAGGATATTTTTGGAGAAAGGGTGTTGAAGCACGTGTGTCTGTCAGCATGTTCCTGATGTGACTGGGAGCTGTGGTTGGGGATGTTTCACTTTGATTTGCCAAATGAAGCTGTGGTTCCAGCCCTGGAGTCACCATGTCCTGGGATGAGTTGGAGTTTCACTGTGTAGTTTGGTTTCCCCTTGTGCAAGTACAAACTGCTGCAAGTTTTACTGAATCCCTTTTACTTCCTATTGTAGGACTTTTCCAAAATGCTCTAGCCCTTATGTTTCTGATATCCATGGCAGCAAATGTATTTCTGACTGGTTTGATTTCATAAAGAACTTTTTTCTTGACCTGCTGGGCTTGAATCTCGGATTTAAAGCCTGTAGGCTCCTAGCAAATAAATGAGACTTATTCCTTGCCCAGATCTGAACTGATATGATTGAATATTGATGATCAGTTCCCCACAGTCCTAGACTGTGCATCTGAAGAAGATGAATAATTCAAAACCTAACTAATATAAATTGTAAATGAAGTTTATTGCTGCACAGTCATGTGCAAAGCATTGAGCCCAGTTTGTGCATGGTGAAGTTCAGCGTGGTGGGATGGGATGGTTTTCCAAGTGACCAACATAAGAGAATTCTGCATTTAGCCTAGTGCTCAGCTGTAGAGTAGTGTGTCTGCTATCAATCAAAACTGGAGGTAAGAAGTGGCCTCTCACCAGTGTGTGGACAGTGTGTGAGTCTTGATGTAGGAGACATATTTCTTCTATTTTTCCCTAGCTTTTTCTGGTGGTGGTTACAATGCAGAGAAAACCAACTAAATCACTAGACAGTGTAAATATTGAAAATACTACTTGCAGAGTCACGTTGTGGTGTTGATGTGAGAGACCTGGGACTATGTTGCCTGTGCTTTTGGAAATGAAGCTGGAGGTGATGTTCTGCTGCACTTCCACAGGCTGAGCCATTGCATGGGCATGAAAGGTCCTCTTTACCTGCTCTTCCAACCACCTGTGAACAACAGCAGCAAGGAAAGCATTAAAACAGAAGGGAGGAGATAGTGCTTTAAAAGTGTGTGTTGCCAATAATTGTCAGTATTATGGGAATACCTGGATATTGGGTTTCCTACTGTAGGATGCTGACTGAAATGTGGTTGTGGTAAGGGCATGAGTGAATCTGGACCTTGTGTTTATCCACCTGGGTATTGTAATGGTTCCTGTTGTGGGAATAGTTGATCAACGCTAGGTGAAATACACCAATAATTTTGCTCTGTTTCATTTCATTCAGTAGAGGAAGAACCTTTCTTCTGTAGTTTACATTCTGTTGTGCATATGAATGTGTGAGTGTTGTGTGTCTTTGTGTGAAGACTTCATTAATAGACAAATATCCTGATGAGGGTTTCCCTGGTGGTTCTCATCCCCACCCTCCACATCTCCCTGGCCATTTCTTTCTGTCTTATTCCTATGACTGTGACCAGTCTTAACTTAAAAAAAAACAACCTTTCTTCTGTAGTTTACATTCTGTTGTGCATATGAATGTGTGAGTGTTGTGTGTCTTTGTGTGAAGACTTCATTAATAGACAAATATCCTGATGAGGGTTTCCCTGGTGGTTCTCATCCCCACCCTCCACATCTCCCTGGCCATTTCTTTCTGTCTTATTCCTATGACTGTGACCAGTCTTAACTTAAAAAAAAACAACCTTCCCTATGACTGTGACCAGTCTTAACTTAATGAAAAAAAAAGCAACATTCACATTTGGCTCTGACTTCTATGAATTTTTATTTTTATTTTTCACTCTTGACTATGCAGATTTCAATTAAACATCACTTCAAAGAATGTGAAAAATAAAAACTCATTAATAAAGATGTTATTTATGAAATGTCTCATTTTGTCTTTACATTGCAACAGTTTCTTAAGATAAATGACTCCTAATAACAACCTGGCAGTGACCTGTGTTTCCTGCAGTGACCCCAGTTGCTCTCTGGGTTGAATAACATTTATTTTCCTTAGATTTAACTGGGGTTTAGTATGTACTGTATTACTGACAGGCAATCACTGTATTTTAGTCTTGGTTTAATAATTTTTTTCAGCCACAATTTATTGGCACTGGAGATGGGAAGGATCTCTGAGCTGTCTCATTTACCTTCTTGCCCGATCGAGATTATTTGGTTAATATTTCTGCATTCAGGTCCTGTCTGTGATGTGCCAAAGATGTCCTGTGGCATTCACTGGAGTACAGTAGCTGCATGCACATGAGCTTTATTGGATTTTAATAACTGGAATTGAACCTCAAAAAGGACATTTGGCATCCACTCACTCGTAATAATGTCAGCTCAGACCAGTGATGGAGGTGGTTTCCAATCCCAGTGAACTCACAGGTCTGTTGGAGGTCGAATTGTTCTTACCTTGTTTGTACTGTCAAAGTATTTGGTTGTTACCAGCCAAAGTCCAATATTTCTGTTGAGTACAACATGCTCAGCTTTGGGTCACACAGTTGTTAGTTGTGGACTGAGGAGTTACATTACAAACAGCCTCATCCCCTGACTGTCAGTGGGGACACAGAACTCCTCACACTTGGATAAACCACTCTTTGCACTGCTGTCTCAGTGTGGAGCTAATCTCTGTTCTGAAATGTGAGTGCTCGAAATGTTTAAAAGCATAATTTATATAATAAACTGTAGAAGAAAGGCTAAAGATGAAAGTGTTCTCTGACGTGTCCTCAATATGTGTATTACTACGTTATCCCACCCCATGCTGGAGGTGTAAGTATTGGAAAGAGAAAATAAAATTTTGCTTGGAATTTGAAGGAAAGGAGTATTAAACAGCTGGTTCTTGCCAAATCATCAAAACCAAGGGAAAAAAAAGTGCCCAGTACATGGTCTAGTACTGAGTTTGGGTTTTCTCAGGTGGGAATAGTAATAATTCAGTCTCTGCTTTGCTAGGTTTCTGTTCCTGTGTGCATGGAAACAAATCCTCTACTGGAAAACTCTTGGAGCATGAAAAAATACATTTCCTTTGCTCTATTTCTAAAACGAAATGGAAGTATCTGATGTGATACTGCTGCTTTAAGCATCCAGCTACACATGTATATATACACACCACAAGAGGTGTTTATATATAAACCCCTGTAAAATACTGAGATACATTAGCATGAGGGTGCAGAGGACATTTAGTGGAAGTCTGTGCTTATAGTAGGTTTTAAAGAATTAAAAAATCAGGAGTTTGCTGTAGAGAAAATGAAAAGCTTTTGCTTTACTGGTGAATAAATAATTACCAAGACAGTGTGGGAGCAATTCAGATGTGCAGCCACAGTAGGGAGAGCAGCAGGAGCTCTGGGTGCTGCCTGGAGAAACAGCAGTGAGGCAGAACAGGAGGCAGAGCTGGTAGTGTAGTCTTTTTTAGAGCTTATGTTTCATTATGGCATCAGAGACATTTTTAGCATGGGTATAGAGACGTATGGGTGTTCCTTCCAAAGGAGAGGTTCACTCAGCCTGTTCTTAGGAAGTGTGTCCCATCCTCTTGCTCTGACTCCCTGTGCTGTGCCAGCTGGCTCTGAACAGCTCTGATGAACAGCCTCAACAGAAGGTTATGATGATTTGACATTTGTACCTGAAAATTTGTCTGCAAAGAAACCTTTTTTGTTAATTTATGCTTTTCTCAGTTCCCCTCTAGCCCTCCTATCTGCTATTACCACTTCTGTAATAGCCTTTTGTTTCCTAATCTGTAATTTGAATTCCCTCCCAAGTTTAAAAAACAACATGATTCTTTTTCTCCCAGGCTGTTTGAGGGACAGCTTTTTTTTTTTTTTAACACTTTGATGCTTAAAATCCTGGAGGAAAAAATTTGGAAAGAGGCCTCTATCAAAGAAGAAATTCTGCAAGAGAGAATCAGTACGAGGTTTACGTGCATTATTTGCCATTCTTACTTTGGGAGAAACAAGGGAAACCCAAAAAGTTACAGGCTCTGTGGTTAGTTGAGGTTATCAGAGCTGCTGCAAGTCTGACTGCAGAGAAGGATGTGTAATAGATCCTCACACGTGACTGTGGGACAAGTCTATTTATGTCTCTGTAAACATGGAATTATGAAATGCACACCATGGAGATGGGGCTGGGCAAGTCCTTGGCTGACCTGGTCAGCTGTCACTGGGCTAACACCTCTCTGGGAGTACAAAATGAGGTTGAACTTACTGCAGAACATCATGCTGCTGGAAGATGTTTAGGGAAAGTGACAGAAGTCCAAGCAATAATGCAAAGAAACCATTCAGTATGTTACCAGGTGTATGTGCTGTGAGTTTCTGTAATAGTGTCTTACACACCTTGTGGATATAACAGCACTACACAAAGACTGTCTAGAAAAA